AGGTTGCGGCTCCAGTGATGCATGTGTTCGAGCAGCATCGAGCAGTGGAAGCGTCTGTTGCCTGCAGGTTCGTGCTGAGACGAAGAAGCGCAAGGCTCCCGCACCTGTAATCCCTCGCGCGCTCCCCCTCCTTCAGCCGGGGTCGGCGGATCTTGGTTGCGAGATGTTTCGGGTTTGTTTTGTCAAGCCAATCCTGGTCAGTGCTGTACACTGATACACTTGACCTTCGGTCAACTGGATGAGAACCCGAACACATCCAGGCGGCCTCGGCCTGAATAGCTGAGGATGACATCGATTTCCAGCACGTGGTGGCACAAGGGTCACTTGGCACGAAGGGGGAACTCCCTGAAATCATCATGGAAGTGGAGAGATCCCAAAGGATCTTGGAGTTCCTGTGAGTTCCCCTTGCGAGTTCCGGAACGTGCCGAGGAAGCAGTTGGTTTTGGTGTTGTTCTTTGTTTTTAACGAGGGTGCAGAGGAGTGCTCACTATGAATTTAGTGGGACCAATGTGCGTCTCACCGTTTTTGTATTATGTATTATTGGGGGTGGAAAACATGATCTGGTCAAGCTCTGATCGTTGATCCTGCCGTGAGACTCGCTCTCTCTCTCTCTATAATATAGGCAACAACCGTAGTTTTGTTTAGGTTTTGTTCAACGGCTTATGCCAACCATGTATTATACATGCTTGATCATTGTTGGTTCTGATTAACCCCAACGGTGGTCGCCCAACGGGAGGTCGCCCAACGTCGCCGTTGGCGATTCAGGGCGGTTTGAGTCGAATCCGAGGCACTGGTATGTGAGCGGCTATCACATGTCGATGCACCATCCGCTTACAGAGGAGACGAGACCGCGAGAATGACCGCGACAACAGAGTCTTCTCCAGTCTTCCATTTGAGACAAGACGAGGTTTCCACAGAAGGAGGATGAAAGAGGAGTACTGATCGCTAGAAAGGTGTGTCCCAAGATGAAGCGATGTTCTGATTGTTTGTGGGTGATCAAATTGGGTCAAAGAAAAGCATCCGTCCTCAAAAAAAACTTCAATGCAAGTCATATATGCCTTGGTAGACATGCCATGACTCCTGTTTTTGATCCTGCTCTCCTGAACCAAATTTACGTTGCCAAGAGGAAGAGAACACACATGTATTATATTACAATATAGTTGCTGGCAATATGCTCAGTGGCCTGGTGGTTTTGTGGCTTTTTTGAAGAACCTGGTGCTTTTTCTGGCATGTCTGAAGATGGGGCTGAGGGATGGGGCATGGCAGCTTCAATGATGGTTTTTTCTAGTTGGAATGGTTCTGATCTTCTTTTGCTTTGACATGCAGGCGTTACTGAAGTCAAGGACGATGCATTTTTGTTTTGCTTTGTGTTGTCGTTGGTTCCTGTGTTTTCGTCTCAGTCGGTTTCGTCAGGTGGACGTTTGGTGGATGTGTTGTATGTGGATGTTCTGGTTGAAGCGTTTTCTTGGGCTTCTTGCGCTGACTCAGTGGTCAGGGCTTGCTGGGATACGGTGACAGAGCAAGACAGGTCGCTAGACTTTACAGTACTTGAAGAACACGTTCTTTTGCAGCATATGCTTGTTGGCCTGTGTAGCATGAAGACTTGTTGAGAACTGGACAAGTGTCAGAAGCATTGATAGCTGCATTAGTTGTTGTTATCTCAGCGATTCGTGGATTGCAGTGGCCTGGTGGCAACATGGCCTGGCACATTCCTATGGCGGGGGAAGAAGCCCACGCAGGTGCACTGTGAACGCCTGAAACGGTGAGACTCCGACTTCGAGTGTTGGATGAAGTTTTCCAATCGGAACCACGGTGTTGTCGCTGCCACTGGCCACCGCTGAGCACCAGAGCACAACGGCGGCCAGCGCTCCACCGCTTCGCAAATGCATCTCAGGCTGTGTGTCGTTTCTCGAGCGGAAAGTTGCTGCTTTGGAATCGAAGCCCAAGACAGCGGACAAGTTCGCAGATGACCGGCAGCAGTCTCAGGGCCGTAAAGAACATAAGAGGGCGTTGACAGGTAAAAATCCTGACTCTGCTGCACTCAGACAGTTCGCCTCTACTGGGTCAAAACGATCTTTACTGTCGGGTAACTTACACATGAAACAAGACTTTGCCAGGCGCTTGGAAACGCGATGACCATATAGCACGTTTGTTTAATGGACTTGTTTGTCCTTAATGTCCTTTGTTTCCTTTTCGTTTCAGCCTGGCTTGTGTTTGAGCAGCTCCAAAGTCGATCATGCCGAGTCCCAAGCCAAACGCATCCGTTGATGCAGTACTGTTTATAAATATGTTCTTTCGACCGCTACTTGTGATGGTGGAGCCCACTGACTCATGTGTGTCCAGTGAGTTGCTTCGGACCGACCTTGGCCTCGTGGAATTTCAGGAGTCGATGCCTTTGTTCACCGACCAATCCAAAGACCAAGCAATGCTCCTTGGACCTCGTCGGACGGACACGGCGATCCAGGTGTTGGATGCGTAGGATGTGGGCAAATGGTCATTCTGCTCCACCACAGCCTGCTCTGCTTGGAATAGAACCACAATGAGATCTCATGAGTATCCAACAGGGGGGATGTAATGGGGGGAGGCTTTAATGGCCGGCCCTGAGCGGCGGTTTACACCGTCGTTCGATGTTGGTACAGCCCTGGGTGGTCTACACCTGAAATTTGACATGCGGATCTAAAGAAGGAGGGGAGTGCCAAACTAGGAATTGTCGTTGTGATGATCAGTGCTAAAAACATTAAAAACCTAAATATGTCTCAGCCTAATGGTCTCTAGCTGGCCACAACACTCGCGAGGGATCGTTGTTTGGAAAGGTGTGTAGACCATTGTAGACCTCCCTATCTTTGAGCCAATGACACAACCATCCATCTCAGCATCATGTTTTCTTAACTTCGCAACTTCGCATCTCAGATGCAGCGCGTGCACGGGCACCTTTTTCGCGTGTTCCCTGGCGTGGTTCTTGACCAAGGTTCAGAATTGTGGTGAAGAACAACCTCACCATGAGCCGCTCAGAACGAGATCGGGCGAGCGAGATTGTGGGCACTGGATGAGCCAATCGGGTACTGCAGAACGCGGGGCCCAGTCACAGTCCGCCATGTTAGGAAGTTTGGATGATTAAGTTGGATCCACAGAGGAATACGGGCGTCCTGTGAAAGAGAGTTCGTTGATGAAAGGCCCGTGACCTGTTGATTTGAGTTCATTTGGAGAGGTCCTTCTTAAAGAGTCACCTCGCTTGGTTTTGCTGTTTTTTTTTATATCTTCCTCGCATGAATTGATATCTTGTCTCCTGACTTCATCACTGTCATCACGAAGCGAACCGAACCACCGTGGTTTGTCTTCGTCTTCGGCACCATGCGACTTCGCCCTTCTTCGCCCTTGGGAACGTCAGGGATGGCGGCGCATTTGATGGACGAGATCAATGCAGCCGTGACCTTCTTGCGACTTGGACCCGGGCAGACCGAGAAGACACCCCCGGTAGAGATGAGATACACCGGGTGGTTCATGGACATGCCGAATCACCTCTAAGGAGCTATAGTACTAGTTGGACACCCCAAACAGGGGGCCCTGGCATGTCGTTCTTCACAGTGACCTTTTGATACCCCAGTTTGAGGTCACTTGGGCCTGTAAAAGTTCACTTAGGCACTCCAAAGAGGTCACTTTGAAAAAGCTGGTACATGATGGTACATGTGTTCTTTTTTCATATGTGTATTTTTGTCTCTCGTGCCCTTACTTAATTAAGTAGCTGCCTTACTTACTTCAGTAGTAAGGGAGAAGTAAATGGACTTCTGGAAGACGAGAAAATCCATTATAACCCAGTGGTTTTCAGGCTCCAGTGGACCATCCGCAAAGAGTACCCAGCAATCAACACACGACCTGCAGGTGAACCCAGGATTGGTTGAAAAAGAACATATTAGCATATAAGTGAACTCTACATCCTGCTAATTACACACGTTACAAAGCTCCATGATTTTTCCCAGATCAGCAACTTTATCCAATTGTCATGACCAAACTTGGGGTTTCAGATGAGAGACTGACTCTTCAGGTTTTGGTCCACATGAACTCTTCATTTCGCACGGTCCACCCGACAGCGGTCGTCTGCGCCCGCGCACATGGGTGCGGCATTCTTCGAGGACGGACCATGGCAAGGGCTTTCAGCATCGGAAGCCCAAACGCCACTCGGGCGGGAAGCCGTGACGGGGTCAGCGAGTGAAGTGCCGGAGCGAGTGAAGTGGGGTGCACGCGGACGAAAAGTCCGAAGGAATATGACATGATCATCATGAGAACTTATAGTCTTATAGTTAATGTATGTATTGCAGACTCTGGATTGTATTTCAAGCTTCCATATATTGAAAGGCTTTACAATCCAAACGGGAAGTTCTATTGATCAAGAGTCGTGATTTTGAGATTTTGTATGAGTGAATAGAAGAAAGTCCGAGTGTGGCTACAACCATGATGAAGTCGACATGTTCTTTCTGTGGAAGGAATATAGACTGCAACCATACAGTTTTTTCATGTTTTTTCCTGGCTGTTGAAAGAGTCTTTCCAGAATTTATAGAGGACGGACTCTTGGAGAACTGCATTGAGTACATGGTGCCTTCACTCCAGTCATTGGAGTCGAGGAGTCCAGGTGTTTCTAGCTTATTTGCCGTCCACCTGCAAGCACAGGTGGTTCTTGGAACTCTGGTGGACTTGGGCATTTACAAATCTGCTGTAAACCGGTCAGTCTGCGGCGGTGAGTTCGTTGGCTGGAAGCTTTTCGACATCACCTCGATCTCTACTGAGCCATGCCGTGACTCGCGCCACGTGTGAAAGAATGTGAGCAGAGATTGAAACATAAAATTTTACATGCAAGGTGTTTTCAGGTTCATGCTTCGCCGTGGTTCCCCTGTTCTCCATGTACACATTACATGCACTAACATGCTGTTCACCTGTTTGTGTGTCCAAAGGAGTATAGGCCTACCGAGACTCGGCTTGTTCGCTCCACCGAGACGAGAGCTCGTCTCACTGAGGCTTGTCGACGCAGAAGACTGTGCCGGCTGTGGCCTTGGAGCGGAAACATCGAAAGGTTCCAAGTCGTCTCGGCATCCCGTTCATCATTGAAAAGCCCTGGCGTTTGTTTTCACGCCATGAACTGCCCAACTGCCCAGTTCGACGCGTTTGTTTCTTTTCAAACACGTCGTTGACCTCGACTGAGTCGTTGACACGACGGATGGAGGGCTGGTCCTTTCAACAGGTCATTCCTCGGGTCAATTTCTGTGGAATGGTCAGCAGCATGGGTCAAAAGGGGCGATAGATGGGTTGGATAGAACATGATAGAACTATTTGGATCGGCATCCAACCTTGGGTAGTATACCATCCCTAGGGCTCAAAGTACCTCCTGGGTGGTTGGGGTGGGTGCCAGGGGGGTCTAACTACCTTTTGAGGATGTGGTTGGAGACCTGGGGAATCAAGCAGTTAAATGCTCAAGAGTCTTAGCGGTCAAACAAAGAACAAAGAACATACGAAACCATCAGTGGCATGTGCGAAGTGTTGAATGTTTTGTGCCATGATCTTCATGTACAATGTATACCATCCACTGCACCTCCACTCCAGCAGCTGCTGCCCAGTTCTGAAGGGACCTGCCTAAGTTAAACATGAATCGCCTTTTCTTTGTGGTTCAGTCATTGTTTAATCAACGGGCCTAATGTATTGGCATCATTTTCAGTGTACTCCACTCCAGACGGACATGGCATGTTGGCAGGTATTTGGTTCAGCTCGGAACATACGCAGATTCAATTCAATATGTTTTTTCTCGAGTGTTTTATAGATGATAAATGATATTGTAAACGCCGGTTCAGACTGGACTTGAAACATGGCTCAGCCGGTCGTTTGTCCCTTCCAGCCCGGAACTTCCTGATAACATGTTAAGAAAATCAGAACCAACTTGTGGATATCGCGGTTTGGGGTCCAATGCATGTTTCAGGCTTTGGATGGTTTTGGATGGCTTTGTTTATATTTGTGTGTCCTCCAAAAGAGGGCGTGTTTGAGCCAGAGCTATTTTGGGCTTCAGTTGAATGATTGATGAATAACACTGAAAGCTCTCCCAACTTGGTCAAAAAGGCGCCCGCGCCCGCCAGGCGTGCTGAGACCGTTGCGCGACCAGAGGGTTGAGTGTGGTATCAGCATCAGCACTGAGACATAAAGACCAGTGAGGGTACTACTATACGTAGCCCATGGCCTGGGATACAAGTACACTCTACCAGGGTCCCCTTTAAAACAACAACAGACAGAGGTGATTCGGGGTGGTCATTCACCACCAACTCGCGTAGATACAAGCCCGCGGGAGGATTACGATGGCGGTAAAACTGCATACAGTAGCTCGGTAACAATAAACAGTATTCTACCTGAGATGTCCAGTCCTATCTCTCTTTTGGGCAAGTTATTTCCTTCGACTTTGTGGCCCAAGTCGGTAGGTTTGGGTCTCCAGTTGTTTGTCCAGTTCACTTTTGATCAACTCTGAGCGCGACCAGTAGCTTGAAAATGTTAGACATCGAGTGCGCGAAGCAAGAGATTTCGTGCCAGTTCCCTTCGATGTCGCACCACGAACTGCTTAGAGACAGCTCAGCGGGCGACGAGTAGTTAGACCTGTGGGTGTTTGACTGCCGGAGCTTGCCGCCATAAGGAAGACGTAGTTCTGACATAGGGATCCACTGCCAGAAAGCAGGAAGACAGAGGAAGCACATAGGGAGACCTATGGGGATCCCCTTTGGGACAAGAAAGGCTTTACTATAGGACATGGCTTCCCTGAGATCCACGGATCCGATCGCTTCGTTTCATTTCGCTCGGTGGGAAGAGGCCGAGACCAGACTGGAAGACTGGATCACATTGGGACTGGGTTCGTTTCGATGTTGATGACTGTCAATCGCATTGAGTATCACCGCGTAAGGATATATACCAGCACCTCCAAGAGGTCACCAATTGAAACCTGTAACAGGGCCCTTCCCAACCCTCCATTTCGGAGACCTGTTGGTTTCGGTGCTGGTCGTATAGAAAGGTGCAGACCGCTCCAGAACAGGTCATCGGGTTGAGGACCTGATGGATGATCAGGGCCGGAGACTGAGTCAAGCCAGAGACTGTGTCCGAGTCACATAGTCATACCAGCAGAGGTTGAAGAACCCTATATAGACTATCCCATAAGTATCCCTAGTTATGGGTCCTATTTACGGTCACTTAACGGCTGGTATGGCTGTGAGTCGGTCGACCTGTATACGGCCCCGGAGAGCCCCGGAGGCGGTTGACCTCCGTTCTATTCTGCTCGTTTTGGGTGCTCTACTCAGGTAGCCTGGTGCCATGACCCATGACCCACTGCCACAATTGTATGAGTTCTTCGCCCAACGAGAGCCACCACCTACGCACGTTCCGTGGGGCTGCGACGCGAGCCACGATCGTTTCTGACCGGTGTCAAGCGACGCTTAGTGTATCAAAGCGTGCCGACAAGTCGGAGCACAGGGTGACGAGCACGGTGCCCTTCAGTTGTGGAATATCGGATCACATCGTGTTTTTTGTGTGGAGAAGAACTGTCTGAAGTATGTCCTGACCACGACAAGGCTTACACACTTGTTTACTTTGGTTGCCTCATCCTTGGCAGGGTTTTCTACCTTCGGGCTGGAGGAAAGGGGCCCAAAGACGGGTTACGTCGCCGAAACACCCGAAAAGCTACGTATGCTACTCAGCTCGTCCGGCTGTTCAAAAAGCCATCACCTCCGTTCTTTGGCTTGGCATTCTTGTTGAATTCCAGTGGTCCAAAATCTCCGACCCAGAATCCGCTCTTCGTCCGTTGGACATCTACCCGACGCCTCTGAGAGCAGGGTGAGTCCGACGGAGCTTTTGTGCATTCCGGTTGTTTGGACTGTTCATACCAGGGTTCCAGTGGAAAGTGCAGTAGCACCAGAAGCAGGACCCCTGAAAACAGGTTCAGAAGATAGACTAAGTTGCAACATCCAATTGCACATTCAAACTCTCCTCACCGGGTAGAACATGGAAGAACATTTGTAGATCTACAAAGCCATTGAAAAACCCTGCTGCAACAGTAGAACCGCCCGACTGACGGGTGTTTGCTGATTTACTGTAGTCGCAGGTTTTGCAGAACTATCAGTCCCCAATCTTTGTCAACCTTCCTCCTCTGTGTGTGTGTGTTCTTACCTCACGGTGCGTCTCGTCAGCTGTTTCAGGGTGAATCATGGTGTGGGGCACGCTTCACGAGAGAAGCAGCTGTGTGAAATTTAATATGTTTGAACAACACAAGTAGTTGAAGATGTCAAAAGTAATGGCCAAGTTGCAGTCAACGAACCGTACTCCTTTTAGATAAACACGACAGTTCCATTTTGGAGTGGCTTTACAATCAGTCAGCCTTTTATAGCATGCTCAATCCAACAGCTGGCGATATCTGCAGATCTATCTCCATGAAGCTTCCCCACCCAGTAGCAGATCGCCGTCCTGTTTTTTACTACTCGAGGACCGCGGTGGACAGCGGTTCCCGCGCGACATGAGCGGGCCCCCGTCGCTGCGGTCGTGCGGCAGCGTGGTCGTTGCGGCGGTGCCAGCTTGGAGGCAGGTTGAGGGAGCGATGGGGAGCGTCTTAATCGTGTAAGGGAGCTTAGGATATGCAGGGGCAAAAGCAATGTGTCTAATAGATTTGTGGTTGCTGCCTTTGTGAAAACATGGGAACACCCTGTGCTAGATGTATCTAAATGCTATTTGCTGAACAAAACAAGAACCGAAAGGATCCGAAAGGGTGCTTCTTTGCCATCACCCCTCAATAATGTGTATGCGGGAGAGGCGGGCAATGTATATTTAGGGGTGACTTTTGTGCAGTTCCATGCAGAAGTTCTGAAGAAAGGAGGCATGTTTTTGCGACATGGGTTGAACCGCCAGCTGCAGGGGTGAAGAGGGCGCTGGTTCACCTCCAGCACCCCGCATCTGAGTATCAGAGGGTGATAATTAATTGCAAGTTCTGACAAATTGCGCTACATGAGTCCAACATGGCTGGTCGAGGAGTTCGAGATCTTGCCCTCAAAGTCCGAGTACTACCAGCCTAAGGCTACTGCCGTGGGAGCGAGTTCCAGCCTTACGGTGCTTCCAGAGCACTGCCATTCCAGATGGTGCGCATGTCTTAGCAGACGTCATCAGCTCTAAAAGCCGGTCGTGTGACGACATCCAGCTGATTCAATCTGCCAGTGGTGGAAGAGTAAGAAGATCCATATATCAGCTGCGTGACTGGACAACCTTTGCTGACGCTTCCTGAGTTTGCATTGCTGTGTTGGGGCTGCGTCTGGTCAGTTCATGACTCACCTCCATGACTGCCAAGCATTGACCTGGACAGTTTGTCAAAGCATTGATCAGTGGACCGATTCTGCTCGTCGTTCCAAGTAAGGAGACGCTGGGTCGGTGGGAGGCATATGGGAGTCCTTGGATAGGAGGTCAAGCAGGCAGGAGCAAGGTGTGCCCTTGGCACAGCTGGGGTGGATCAATCCTCGGTGGGGGGCTCGGGCTCGGTGGAGTTCTTGCGGCCCCCGTGCACCTCTTCATGCATATTCACCCATTGTACTGTTCCAAGACCTCAGGAATGTCAACGGCTCTCCTTGTTTTCTTGCACCACATGAAGAGCAGGACTCCTACAAGGAGGCAAAGAAGCGCTCGGGAGGAAAGGGCAGCAACAAGGAGGACGCAGAGAAGGAGAAGGAAGACAAGGGAACAAAGTAGCAGAACGGCGAATGAATCAAGTGGTTGAATTGGAGACGCAAGCCAAGCTTGCGGCTCCAAGCCAGTGCCAAAGCCACTCAAACAGCAAAAGTGTTTTGTTGATGTAGGCACAGGTCGAAGAGGTTATATTACAGTTGTTGATGTTATTTCTGTGTCAACTGGGTTGTTCTGGTGAGACTGAAACAGTTGGATTCTGGGCATGCGGTGCTGAAGGATGGTTGAACTATGTTGAACTATATAGTCCTGGACGTGCCGAACACCTTTTGTTGTTTGGCCGCTTGGCCCTCCCATTTGGCCGCGACTCAGTGGCGACTCGATTCGCAAAACCAGAGAACTCTCGCCGTCACTGGAGTGCACCTGGTCACATGGTTTGGGGAACGCTAGGGTCACTTGGTCGCCCTCCTGAACTCTGAACGCCTGAAGGTGTTGTCCGTTTTGGATGTCAAAACACTCAAGATCCATGACTTGGTCACAAGATCATTGCATGAATTTAGATTCAAATTGGAATGACATGTTTCGCCGTAATTTCCTCATCTCTCCAGTCCCATTGTGTTGTAGTTGAGGCCTCAACTGGCCAGCGCTGCTGCGCGCGGAAGGAGCAAGGTTTGGGACCTCGGTGATTCTGTTCAGTCTGGGCTATGTACCGTCAACGTCAAGACGCATCCTGTGGGTTGAGAGGGTGCGTGGCCTTGATCCGCCATGCCACAAGGACAAGGGCACATTGTACATTAGTCTGTGGTCAGAGGATAGAACTGATAAAACCACTAAACCTAACGTTCCCTAGATGCTGAGCAGAAACGACACAATATCGGAATATCCCTATCACGGGCCCACAGGGGAATTCATCACACCCTGTGACTAAAGACCCATTTACCTAAGCACCGCGGATGAGCCGCATTCGTCCCAACAAAGTTCATTGTGACAGAGTTGGACTTGGGCGGCGGGCGATGTGGACCACTTCTCGACCACACCTCCAAGCACAAGCCACATGGCTTCGGCCTTCCCAAGACGTTTCGATATGAATGGTAGATGACCGGAAAAAACAGTCGATGCAGCGATGTGGGAACCATGGGAACCATTTCCCAAAGAACCCACCGGGACTGGCATATTTACGTATACATTGGGTTTGGGGATCGTTGGGGTGGTTTTAGGGGCCAATGTATAGGCATGCAGCATGCATATGTATTCCATCACGCGGGAGTTTCTAGGCTTGTGGGGAACCACATGTTCCGACACAGACGACTTCTGCGCTGTCCCTGCGTGTAGATGATCTCTTCGCCTGGTCACTGGGCCGCTCGAGGTGCAAACTCCGCTGGCCGCCCTGAAACTCACCGGTGCCATCGCGATCGCCCCTGGGCATCGTTGAGGAACGGAAAGAAGTCATCAGAAGAGCGTGTTCAACATGTACCTGGACCCTCCGACCCTCGGGGTGTCCTGGCTGGACTACCCCAGACTACCTATGGGCTTCCACACAGGGCACCCCTTGGAGGGTCCTGGTATGATGTATTGAACGTTCGACGTAAATACTGGGATGTAATTCATTCCAGCTGGGCTAAGAGCAGGGAGGTTGCGTGGAGTGTTCCAAGAATTCACCAGGAGCTGTCAACTCTGGGTCACAGCAG